AAATCATGATTAAAAATTTAAAAGGAGGTAGAGGGTTGAGTTCAGGAAAAGGATTTAAATAGAACCAAATATGACCAATAAAGGAAATATGTATTTTACATTATTACAGAAATATATGTATGCAATGAGACGCCGTATTGTTAGACGAGAGATGTGAGGGGGGAGGGAGAGCCTTGAATTTTATTAACTACACTCTATACCTTCCACATGGATGAAAACCCTTTCATAATTGAGAATAGTCATTTTATTTGAGCGTATTGTAAAGATATGTATTTATTGCTATAACTGCCTAAGTACTAAGACTGCTTGAAGGTTTGAGTATTCTTATCAGGTTGTGGCCAACTGTGCAGTTAAAAACAATATTTTTGGGAATTTGGAAAATTATAATCCCTCCCCCCCTTTATTATAGAGATTAGCAATGCCTCTTTAAAATGTTGGTATTGGGTTAATTACCCCTCCCCCCTTTTCTACCTCCGTTTTCATAAACTTTGATATTTTTGATATACTCCTTTTTAGATGGGTTAAATTAAACAATCTAAGTTTGTTTAGTTACTCTTAGTCAACTGGAATTTTATATATATACATATTATATATATATATATATATATATATACATTCATATACATATTATATATATATTATAATCAGTTATGCTTCACACCCCACTCATATAACCATGCAGAAAAGTTCAGTTGGTTTCGCGGGATTAAAGCAGTCCTGTCGTTGTCGATGATTTCAATCCCCTTTTAATCCCTTTTTATGTTTAATTAACTATATAATTGTTTATATAATTAATTGTTCATAAGATATTATTCTGCAACGTAAAAAAGTGAAGTTATTATTTGTTCTTTGATAAGAATAGGATTAATCGGAGTGAGTGAAGTTAAAGATTCAGACTAATTTTATTCATTTTTTATTTTTATTAATCATCTACAGACTGGGCAATAAAAAAAATTCCAAGAAAATGATTTCTATCTTTCAATATTCATTTTGGAGTTATGCACAATCACTTTTATTACGTCACTACGGTGGGGTTCTGCGTTCTGATAAAAATGCAGGAAATGCGTCGTTTTAGCTTCCAGATAACTCTTATACAATATTTACACACGACGGCAAGACAGGGCGTTTCACGAACAATGAATTTTCAAAAATAAAAATCGTCCAAATAATTCATTATTATGCATCTGATAGATATATTTCATACAAAAAATGTATTATCTCTACAATTTTTGATATTTATTTGTGAGAGCAACTCTTATGTTATGGGCAGATTGAACCATATCAAATGGGACTGCACTTTAAGTAAAATTGCAGTTTTTGGGTTTTCTTCAGGCTCGGAAGGAGGGGTTTAATCTGTAAAGAAATTAGCTACAAACTATAATTTTCGAATACCCATATCTTTGCAAGCTTTGATATTTTAAACTTTGACTATTTTACTTTATACAAAACTTGTTGTTAAAAAAAGGAAAGATAAAATGTGGCTCACCCGGTAGCTAGCTTGCAGTACCCGGCCCTGATACTTTCTGTAGTTTTATTAAGATAAGAAATTAATTGAAGATTAGAGAAGGTATTGATAGATCAATTCTTTAATAAAAACTCCGCATCTAATTGAGCATTTTTAGCAAACTATTAAGGCACGGGAANCAGTTCTCAGTCAAGAGCAACCTTCAAATCATGCATTCCTATGTTCTTGAGAACATGGCATGCAAGCAACATCTTCTATCTACTAGACAACTAGTTTTATATTAAATTGTAACTTCTCCCTACAGGGTTAGAACTTCACGAGTTCTTAATATGTATATCACCCAATGCAATGAGAAACAAAAAGGCGCAAAGTTGTATGAATAACCCCGGATGTATAATGAACAACTGTCTAACGTAGAAATATTGAATAATATTGATTATTAAAATACTGATTGAATAAAAATATATTCCCCTGCAGATTTATTAAAATGATATTGATTTCTCATCCTCAGCATTTAAATAATATACTATTGTATCAGTGTATCAGTGTATCAGTGGTATATATCAGTGTATCAGTGTATCAATGTTTCAGTGTATCAGTGTATCATGTATATCAGTGTATTAGTGTATTAGTGTATCATTGTATCATTGTATCATGTATATCAGTGTATTAGTGTATCAGTGTATCAGTGTATCATTGTGTCATGTATATCAAAAAAAGAATAAAAGTTTTAAAATGAATTCGAACAAAATGAAAGAGAGAAAAAAGAGAAAAGGAATAGGATAATTAGGAAAGGTCAACCTGGAATAAAAAAAGGAGGAGGAAAAAGAGGCATAGAGAAGTAGGAAGAGAAAGAGTAAAAGAAACGGAACGAGTAGGAATAGAAAGAGGAAGAGTAAAAGAAACGGAACGAAAAAGAAGGGATATAAAACAGAAACAACGGATACAAAGAAGGAGACGGAATTTCAATCAAATTATTATTAGTTTAATTTATGTTTATAAAAAAACATGAAATATATATATTTTCAAATGTTAAAAAGTGTATTCTGCCCTCTCCTCTCCCAATCGGAGCTTGGATTAGTTCCGTTCTAAAAACCGCTCAATAATCCCCACCCCGGTAGGAGGGGGG